TACTTACTTATTTTTTTTAAAGTGTTTTAATAATAAAATAATACCTCATTTTAAAAAATAGAATTAGCAAAATAATAATAAAAAAATAAAAAAAATCGAATCGTTTTAATTCGGTAATCACCATTTTTTTTTTCTCTCTCGTTTCTCTTCCCTGACCCACGTCCTCCTTTCACTTGTTTGTACATGTCCGGTAGCTCCCCGATTGGGATTTCTTTCTTAAATTGATTATTTTTTAGATGATTGGATCATTTTTGTCATGGGATTGAAAACCGGTACACCGACTATCGTGATGAAAGAGAGAGTGATTGGTTGACTCTGGTTTAGATTGGCTACGATTGAAGGTGGGAAGGGTTTCTTTAGTCAAGTTGCCTGTAAGGTGGTTATCCCCCATATAGGCACTTCTATTGACTACCATGAATGAATTGATGATCTTTCTTTAGAAGGCTAGGAAGCAGACCTATACCTTTCATTGAGGGCGCGGGTTTGGGAAGCAAGAAAGAGAGAGAATAGAGAAAGGGTAATTAAAACGGGTCTATCCAATATTTTTCTTCTTTTTTTTATTTATTATTTTGTTAATTTTGTATTTAAAATTGACTATTTATTTTGTTATTAGAATATTTAAAGAGTGAGTAGGGTGAAACATGAGTAGTCAAGTATTATTCAAAAAAACAATTCATATACTTGGAATAAAGATTATCTTGAATTACATTAGGACAAATCGATCCTCGTAAAAAGTCAACTAATCTAATGAGTCACAATTAATATCTCATTACTTCTGGTTCCTTTAGTGGGTTCATATTTTTATTTTTATAATAAAGTTAACCGTGTGGTCCAACTTCCAATTATTCGTCATAACTTTTTGCCCAAGTAAATTAAGAGGATTTGATTAAAGAACAAAACTAGTATAAAATTGACCCAAGTAACCACACAGCACAAGCAACCATCACAAAACAGCTCTGTGCAACAATCTTTAAAGAAGGTAAAATGTCTTGGAAAATTATACTCCCAAAGATTATATTTTAGTTCTAGTTTCTCATTTTTAAAGAAACAAAAAATGTTTAATTTGCGCTTGAATTTCTTGCCAAGATAATATATTCCACACACACGCAAGAAGAACATATAAAGAACACTAGTGATTGTAGAATCATGTTGTATTTGATGAATCACCGTTGGTTGGGTTACGGCAAGCCAGTTCAGCTATGCAAAAGAGCTCTTCATTAGACAAATTAAAATCTCTATGACTTAATCCTCCTAAGATTGTTGAGGAACTAGCTATATATAATACACAGAGTCACTTATTTGAGAAGTTAATTCGACAAGTCAACCGGCCTATCTTAAGATTTTGAATTGTAATGCAGGTGATCACAAACCCAATGCTGATGTGGATATTATTATTATATTTAATTATTGGAACCACCTCATTCTTGGATCGTAACAACTGTAGTATGATATTATATGTTGTTGATGAAGACAGCTAATAAATACTAGTAGGTGTATTGATTTGGACGATTGTTTAATGTGTGAGTTGTAACTACTAAGTGCGCAAGACCTGCTAAAATCATTGAATATCTTATTGGGCTTTTGAATCTCAGTTTGCTTTTTTCTATAAATTTGCGCTGCGCCTAATCATGGGCTTGTAAAAGTCAAAAACCCACCTTTTTTTGTTTTTTTTTTTTTGCATTCAATCTCTTTTTATAACTTCGCATAAGAATTAATCTTGCGGTTCAGCTTCATCCACGAGTTTGGATAGCAAGATTGAGGCCTATGGAATTTAGTAGAGATATTTTGTTGAAAATGATCCATTTCCATAGAACAAAATAGCTAAACCAATAAAAATGCCTTTATTACGAATTATAACATAACACTCTTAATTCCCAAAGTCACTCGTAAATCATTAATAATGGTAGCAAATCATTTGGTGCGCCGAACAGCAAAAATGGAAAGGTGTACTTTTTTTGTTTTGTTTTTGGAATTAAGTTATAGCACTTTGAATATCACCAAAGCGTTAATTCTGATTGCTTGAAGGTGAATTAACATTATCGATGTATTGAAATCTTTTTCGTGTGGACTTTAGAGAAGGTTAGTAGTTGAATGCGTTTAATCAAAAGAAAAAATTATGATTTTTATTCTTGTTATTACTTTAAGTATGTCTACACTTCTATATGTTCAACTAAAATAAAGAATCACGCAGAAACCATTTCCAGATGATCAGATCTTAATTTGTGGATCTGTGGAGTGGGAAAACTCATATTTGTATGATGAACAGGTTGTAGCAAGTGGGCTGGCGAGATCTATTTTGGACTGTGCCACAATTTTTGTGGGCCCCCAAATCCAATGGCAATAAATGAAACCAGTTGCCGGAGGGAAAGGGAAATTAATAAGTGGGACCCATCAACGTTTTCAAGCGCCTCAATTCGTCATTATTTCTTGATTTATCGATTTCTTTTACTTTCCTTGTATTTTTATTTTTGTTTTGCTTAGGACTGGGTGGTTGTACCGTGTGACATATATTAATTGAATGTGTGTGTCTAGAGAGAGAGAGACTCTTAATATACAATAATTGTAAAAAAACTTAATAGTATTAGTGTATATGACGGCTATAGTCGGTATCATTTTTTTATAAATAGAGATAATATTATATTGTATGAATATACTTAATGAAAAGAATTGAATTATAGTAAATTTCTCTTTCCTTTTTTTTTTGCTCTCTTTCGCCCTACATTATATTTTTTCTTATATTTACATGAAAAGTCGTGAATGGGTGCAAAATGGTTTTTTAGAGACAGATTTATTTAATAATTATGAAAATATAAGCTAAATCCTAGTCTTAGGCAGTGGCACAGGTATGCTGCATGTCTTCATCTCCCATCGTTATCCTCTCAGTATCACAATTGCCGTGTCTTTTTATTTTTTGGTATTGCGTGGTTGATATTTTTTTGGTGTGCTTCATAGAATATAGGGAAAAATAAATAAATATTACCAAATTACGTAAATAATGTGTTTTCTTATGTGATTGTTTTCTATTTACAACAACACTCAAATAACTTAGGTGATTCATATATATATATACATATGTCATATGTGTGTATTTGGAGTACTGTATTAAAAACTGTTACGAATTATCTAATTTAGATTTTTTTTTTTTTTTTTTCCCTCCACTCCAAAACAATTTAGAATCTCCTATTGAAAATTGGTGTGGAATACCATTGTACGAATCTAACCGCTCACACAAGTCACCCCTTCTTTAAAAATTTTTTTAAATAAATAATAATAAAATAAATTAAATTAACATATTGCACTTTGAATTCATTACTTTAATTGACTAAATTTCAGTAATAAAAATTAATAAAATTTTATCACCGAAAAAATAAATTTGATGAAATTGTAACGTGAGAAACTGCAGGAAAGTGTGTTCCGAAAATTTGTTTGATAAGTTTTTTTTAAAAAAAAGATTCTGTAGCAGTTGACATGATATGAATCTATGATCAGGACAGGAGAATAAAACCAAAGAGGAGAAAGAGACGAATAAGATATTTATCTCTTAATTATTATTATTTTAGTATTTATTTTTGTGTAATCTGTACTGAGAATATAACTTGATAATGAGTCCGTTGACAAATATAGATTTTTGTTGTTGCGTTTTCATTTTTCTGATGCGGCGTGCTTATGAGTTATGTCTAGACTTTAGAGTTTAGACCCATTATTTTCAATTTCACGTTCAACAAAGGCGGACCATATCAAATATATATATATATATATATATATATATATATAATATAATATGGTCAATCCATCACACCTTCTTCTTCTTCTTCTTCTTTTTTTCTTTTTCTTTTTTTGTTCCTTACATTTTAATTCAAACTTAAACAACTATATGAAATAATGAAATTGGACTCCTCAACAACACTACTATTAACATAACGTGTTATGTGGTGCCCACCTACCTTCAATTCTAGTTTTAAAAATGTATAACTATATAAATTACACTTACACTGATTTTATAATTCGTTAAGTGTTTTTTACTTTAGCCTCTCTTATATTTTATTCTAAGCAAATTTTTTAACCAAATTTTTATAAAGTGACAATTTTATTCTTCTTTTATATAAAACGCAATATAACATAATATTATATTATAAGACATTACTAACTTTTCACATTTAAAGATTATTTTTCGACTATCAGTAAGTGAATTTAGAAAAAGTTAAAGTAATAATTGTTGAATAATCCATCAACAAGTAATTTGTTCAAACTTAAAATAAATAAAAAAATTAATATAATTTATCTTTAAAAAGTCAACCATTTCTCTAAGAATGATCATTTTTTTTTTTTTTTTTTGACACTTTCATTTCACATCTCTATAAGTAAACGTTTGAAGATTGAGCAACAAAAGAAAAAATAAAAATAAAAGGTCAGCAAAGCACGTGAAATTTGGTTTCTAGAACCCCAATCACAATGGCATCACCACTGCACCATTCGTCTAAATGCTTCACCTAAAAATGAAGAAAATTAATGTGGAATAAGATGGTTGGTATGATATTTTTTTATTTTGGTGGTCCATCCTTATCCGAACCCGACCCACCCATAAATGTTTTGCACGTTGAGACGCATTTTTTCAAGTTATGCAATTCATCCATATTATTATGGCTGTAATTAATTAACAGCTACATCAGTAATTAATAAGTTTTTTTGGAAAGTCACATTAATAATAAGTTAATTGATCGAATGGAACTGTGGTAATTGTGACACTTTAATTGAAAATGTTACTGTATAAGTTTAAAATTTACCAAAGGTATTATATTGGTACATTGAAACAATTTTTGCACGACATTTATGTGCTTTAAATGTCCTAAAAGTGATATATATATATATATATATATATATATATTAAAATTGTATTGTTATTTTTCAGAATAAATAAAACAAGAGAACAATTCTGTTATACATATACATATATATATATATATATATAGTATGTTTTTTTCCCTGTATTTTTTAGTGTCTGAAGATAACCGGTTATCATACGCTGCCTTGTTTTGACCGTCTAAACGTCTTCGGTGGGAGTGGTGGGACCCACTCTCCGTCCCTCTAAAACTCCAATGGTGTTGGTAGTCTCTGGACTCCTAACTTTTTCCCTCCCTTTTCTCAATCTGTATATGTGTATCAGCGTGTGTTCTGGTTTGGTGAAAGAGAAATAAACTCCATTCTTATATAGACAAATACCGAACGAAACTCTCTCTAAAAACATATATATGTATATGTATATGTATATGTATATGTATAAATAAAACTTGATCACTATTTTGTGTCGTCAAAAAGGCTACAAAACAGAGTAAGAAAGTGCTTTCTCTCTCTACTGCTTCGGTCAGGTATGTGCATTGCTTTACATATGTGCTTTCTTTTACTTATCTTATATATGCTGTTTCTGTATATAGTTTCACATTTATTTAGATCTGTCACTCAAAAACTGCTTCTGAATTAATTCCTTACCCAATAAATATATGTTCTCTTTAATTTATTCAAATGTTTTTCCATTGATTTGGATTTGGATTTAAATTGAACAACACAGCTCTTTAGTTGTGATCTAAATGTTTTATTTAATTTACATCGGTATTGTCAATAAATTAGCCAATCCAGCTTTAAATGGTTTTTATGACACCTTGCTAATTACATGATCTAAAGTGTTTTTTTTTTTTTTTAATATTTTTGTTTGATCTTTGTAAAATCTTTATATGGATTAGTATATATATTCACACTAATTAACAATCAGGTCAACGGCAAATGATCACTTTATACAATTAGTGCTAGTGTTTTGATCTAGATAATTTTGGAAATCTGTGATCATATCAATGGATAGTATTTCATATGACTTAGATCTAGATCAAGTTTCGAGTTTTTTTGTTTTACCTATTCAAAGTAGAGAAGGGAGTTACATGTTTGGCCAATAGTTGTACACAAATGTTCATGTTTATTTACTGAAACCTTCATTTCGTGTTTGAAAAAATTGTACAGGATTCTTTTTACCCCCAATTAATGGCTTCCTTGTTTCGGAGAAGGCATTCTCAGAATCATCAAGAGGACGATTCTTCACAACGGGATGCAAAGGTAATGAGAAGCTCGAATCGTGACATTAATTGAAGAAGCATAATTCTTTTTGATGCATGTGTACTTTAAACATCCATTTTTTCTCGAAAGTTCAAACAAACCGTACACGCACCCTTTATATTGCCCTAGCAAAGCTAGAAAAGCATGTGGGGTTGGTATTCTATGATTGATTGAGTTGGAAAGTTTCTTGACTATGGCTGGCCAACTGTCCGTTTCTTTGCGTTAAGAATGGACTTGACCATATTAAGGCAGAACAGTAGAACTTCCTCTTAAGAAAAGAGAGATCATACCATCTGACCTAATACCAGTTGGTAGGTATTAATTTGTCTCTCTTGCATCAACATCATAATAATAATAATAATAACAATTAGACTTTCCTTGATATCAGAAAGCTAAAATTGCAATTATTTTATATTATTTACTAGCTATGAAATAGAAAGAATTGTTGTAGATGAGTAAATAATAATTCATCACTCCTGCATCGACATGCTAATGATAACTGGAAACTCCTTCATAACATTGTGGTTCATACTGATCAAGGGAGTTTCAAAGATGATAAAAAGCTAAAATTGTATTTCTTTTAGTATTTTATTTAGTAGTTAAAAGAAGAAACTGTGCAATTGAATTAAACAAGATAAATGTATTAAAGTTCTATTGAAAACTGATGCTGAATACTTGTTCTACAAGCAGATCAAAGAGCTCAGGGCTGCTCTTGGACCCCTGTCTGGACGGAGCTTGCAGTTTTGTTCTGATGCATGCCTGAGAAGATACTTGGTAGCCCGAAACTGGAATATTGACAAATCAAAGAAAATGTTAGAAGAGACGCTCAAATGGAGATCAACATTTAAGCCGGAGGAAATCCGTTGGGTAAGCAGTGAGAAAATGCACAAATCACGAACATATACTAGTTTCTCTTTTTCTTGTTCTGTGTGTGTGTGTGTGATTTAACTAGTCGCACATAAGTGCATGTTAGTTGTTCTTTTTTACCTTTACATAAAGAAAATGCAATATGTTTTGTACAGATTAATGTCGATGAATATCCCATTTTCGTGTTAATTTTTACTTGTTTAGATGTCAGTGGGGTTCTGAAAGCTTTAATTATGATCTTGGCACGATCACGATTTATGCTCAACAAGAATCTTTGCTTCAAGTTTCTGGTGTTAGTTCATCGTCATCTCTAATTCACGATCTCTGTAATATTTGGGTGCATCTCCTGTATGCCATCAATGGTATAAAAAATGAATGAACAATACGCAATAACTTTTTTGATATACTATTGCATACTAGGTAAATGTCAATATATATATATATATTTGTTGAAATTTTAGCATCCTCGCCATTTTTGAAATGTCATTTCTGAAATTTGTGATTACGATATGGTACGCGATTTGAAGATATCTCACCGAGCCTTCTGTAATGTATGACCTGTGCCATTATCAGCATGAAGTAGAGCATGAAGGTGTGACTGGCAAAGTGTCGAGAGCAAATTTTCATGATCGACTTGGGAGGCCTGTTCTCATAATGAGGCCAGGAATGCAGGTACTTGTCGGGAATTTTCCTCCCCTTGAAATAATTTCTTTTGCTTGGCATTTGTAAAATTGTCCATTCGTTTATTTATGTTCTGTTTTTGATGCAGCTCACGAAAGCAGGAGAAGATAATGTCCGCCATCTAGTCTATCTTATAGAGAATGCCATTCTTAACCTTCCTGAGGGTCAAGAACAAATGTCGTGGCTGATAGACTTCAACGGATGGACAATGAACACTAATGTCCCCATTAAAATAGCTCGAGAAATCATTTACGTTTTACAGAATCACTACCCTGAGAGACTTGCCATAGTAGTTCTCTATAGTCCACCGAGAATTTTTCACGCATTCTGGAAGGTATGAGCTCCTGCCCTTATTATTCTGGTCTTTTATTAGTTACACTGAAATGACACAGCACTAATCACATTTGAAATCTTTTGAGTTGCCTAACACGATAATCAGATAGGATTCTGATCCGAATCCAATTTGATAATCAGGATTTTGTAATAGGTTTGTAATCCGTTAATCCAAGAACAATCTGAATTGATCCATAAGAAATTATACTAATAGAACTATATAATATACATAAAGTTTTTTATATCTATATTAATGAACTTGTCCTACCTTTATTTCTGCAGGTTGTAAAGTACTTTGTGGACCCAAAAACATTTCAGAAGGTCAAGTTTGTTTACCCCAACAACAAAGACAGTGAGGAGATCATGAAGTCCTTTTTTGATGCTGAAAATCTTCCGAGTGTGTTTGGAGGAAAAACCAGTTTGAAATACGACCATGAAGAGTTTTCGAGAATGATGGTGGAGGATGATGTGAAAACTGCTAATTTCTGGGGATTCGATAATAAGCCCTGCCATGTTGCAAATGGGCACTCGGGAGCAGACCTGAATTCGGAGGCAATGAGTCTAGCACCACCTGCAAGCTGAGTGAGTAAAAATGCCGGCGACCGTGTAAAAATCTACAGCAATGTAGAACATGAAAGTGGATCAGACTAATAGAGACTTGATTATCGAGTTTAATAGGGACCGGAAATGATTTTTCCGTCCCTTGTTTTAGTGAATGAACATTTATTTTCCGGTGCTTACGGCTAACTATTTGGAGAAGTTGCCTTTTTCTTCTTCCTTTCCATGTGCTACTATTTGTATGATGTTTTCTACCACCTTTCAGATGACAAATTTGTAATGATTAATTAGCTCCCATAAATAAATCTCATAGTTTAAATTACATTTGCTTGAATACTTTTGTGGTACATCTGTATGGTTAAGCCTGCTGTGCCTCTTAATTTTATCCCTTCAAAGAAGATTTGCGGTTCATAACACAGGAATGTTCACTTTTTTGTCTTCTCTATGAACCAAATCAAGCCACGTCGGTGTGGATTTGCATTTTGACAGTGACTTAATCAAGTTCCTTCCGGTCCAACATTTTTGTAAAAAAAAATTAAAAAATTCCACTACTCTTGGAAAATACCTTCACTTTGAAAAGAGAGAATACCCACTAGGCCTGGAAATGAATACGACCAGCAAAGGGTTTGGTTTCCAAAAAATATGTACAAAAACAAAATTAGGAAAAAATTAAATAAAGAAACACTTCTAATCTTTATGTCATTTAGCTTTTTTGTTTCTTAGAATTTGAATTTTTTTTTAAAGAACCAAGTGAATTTCTTATCTTCCTCTCTGTCTGCTATTTATGACTTCAAGCTTTTGTGTTTTCACCATTTCTAATCTTTTTGTCTTCTTATTGTGGCCGCTTGATTAAGCCTGTACGGAGGTCCCAAGTCCTAATCGTATTTACCAAAAAAAAAAAAAAAATTCCTATCAAAAGCTTATTCCCATTGTTTGGTCTTACAGTTTCCCATTGAGGGTGGGTGCTCTGGTTAATACAACTAGGGGTGCAACTTGGGCGGGCTAGCCCAGCCCAACCCGAGTCCAGTCCATAAATTTTGAAATCTGGACATATAAATTTATAATTCGGGTTTAAGTCGGATTGGGTTTTTTCAAACCCCAACCTTATTCGGTTTGGGCTGGGTTCAACCCGAACCCAGCCCGAGAACCCAAATTAAACATTTCATGACAAAAAAAAAAAATCCACGATCTCTCTCCTATCCTTCGCTAACTCTCTCTCTCATCATCCTCTCTCTGCTTTCTGTTTCTCTCTCTCTGCGGCCATCCATGGGCGAAGCTTGAGAGTTGAGAGGAGGGCTTATTTATTTTATTTTTTCTCCTTTCTTTCTTCCTCTTTCTCTCTCTCTCTTCTTTTTCTTTCTTTCTCTCTCTCTGTCTTTGCCGCCGTCCATGGGCGAAGCTTGAGAGTTGAGAGACAGCGGCTGCAGCTTGCGAACGGTGAACCCGAACTGGAATAGCGGGCGATGGAAACTGAAATATATGGGTTTTGATTTTTTGAACAATCTGAAATGATATGCCGATTTGGGTTTTGATATAGGTAATAGGTTTTGAACTTTTGATTATTGCAACAGATAGATAAACTGAAATATATAGGTTTTGAAATTCTGATTCTTGTAGATTTAGTACTTTGCAGTTGGAGAGAGAGAGAGAGAGAGAGAGAGAGAGAGAGAGAGAAGGAGAAGGCAAGTTCAGAGTTGAGAACGAGAAGAGAGATGGAGGCGGCGATTGGTGAGGCTGAAACGATTTGCCCTAAATATATATATATAGATATATATATATAATAATATAATAAAAAATATATAATATACATATATATATATATATATAAATTTCTCAAAAAAAAATTTTTTTTTTTTAAACTCAACCCATCAACCCGACCCAACCCGTCCGAAAATATTCGGTTCGGATTATAACCACAACCCATGTTGGGTGCAATTCGGGTTAGCCCAACCCAACCCGATTCGGGTTGAGGTTGGGTTGGGGCTGGGCTGGGTTGGGCCTACCCAACTTGCAGCCCTAAATACAACTATGTTGTTATCACTCCCTTTTGAACAGTACAATCAGGAAATTTGTCGCATGGACCTTCTTCTCTAACATCCACAAAAAGGCTATATTCACAGATAAAACAAAGCATCCCATTTAGAGAGCAAATGACCGCAAAGTCCAGGACAAAGAGCAGGTTGTCCTGCAAGCATTAACAAAAGGACCATATGTTTGCTTTACTGTACAATGCAACTTTGTTATGGCTTGATCAAAGTTCACTGGAGTATAGGCACTCATCCACAAGTTGCCGAAGGTTTGGATTCTCCAGAGCAGCAGCAATTATTTCTTTATCATTTAGCTGCTTGTTAACTGTCACCAAGTCAAATAACCATGGTTTTTATGTTAGTCTGGAGTGACCGAATTAGGGAAATGAAGAGGGAAGCAAATGAGGCTAAAATGAAAACCTATGTTATGCATATTGAAATTTTAAAAATGGCAACTACTTTTTATCAGGAAAGCCAATTTTCTTACTTTCTCTGCTTCCTATTTAGATAGTCTCTTTTCACCATTATTTTCTTTAGGGTTTCCTCATTCACACTAAACTCATAGCTTTCTGCAGTCCACTTCTATATTTCCTTGCACTCACAAAGTCACAATGTGGAGGGCGTGATGCAAAAACTGAAGCACCCAAACTGATGATCAACAGGTCCGATTCAGTTCATAACTGAGCTTCTTTGAACTAAGGTTGTCTAGTAAATGGGCTGAGTCCTACCGGAACCAAGCTTGGTTGTCATGGTTCATGAATAAATTTCAGGAGACGAGTGTGTAGTTTCCATTAATTTTTTAAGATGTTAACTATGCTACTTGAGAACACAAAGTTTTTTTATAATGAAAGTAAATAAGTTAAAAGGTGACATAGCTACTGACATTTACACCAAGTGAGGTAACTTCCTGTTTCACTCTTTCAATTAGTTAGGATGTGACAAGTGCCCAGGAAAAGGACCACTTTCAAGATTTTTTCAGATCAAGCTAAGGTACTTATCAAACAAAAAATTAAACTCGGGCTCCTCTGAACAGTGCTGTAATTCAGAAAAGCTGAGCTGCTGAGCTCGAGCTAAGATACATTACAGTATTGTAACTCAGGAAGCTGAGCTCCGTAGCTATTAAGCTGAGCTCAAGCTAAAGTATATTAACCTCAGGCTCCTCTGAACTGTGTTGTAGTTCGGGAAGCTGAGCTCATGCCTCAAGCAGCATTATACTCCAGTTCAACTCATTTGCAACCTGAGCACCCATAACACTTCCTCTTTATGCATTGCCTAAAAGAATTACACAAGGATAGAAAATCCAATATAATCACAATTAATTCCAGAAGAGATCCTAGGCATATAGGTACCAGATTCAGATTCCTGCATGCATGCCCCGTGAATAGCCCCATAGGTTGCTTAGTTTTATAATACATTTATCCCCTAGCAACTATTTCTCGGGCAATTTCAAGAACCATTCCGCAAATCAAAAATAAGAAAACCATTATAAATGTAGACAGGGATTTAAGAATATTCTTAACATTACCTGATTCTTCATTTGCATGAGATCCAGGAGCTACTTTAATATCTACCTGTACAAGTGTATCATGAAATCGATAAGAAAATTACAGGATAGTTATGAGATGGATGCAGAATGCAAATGAACTGGTGTTCAGTTAAATTGAAATCTCCATTGGGAAAAAAGTACTGTTACTAATTTTTCTGTGAATAAGCATGGGAATCAAGGTTAATGGACATGTAAAATAAGCCTCTTCATTTATGATTACCATATTTGCACTCCAAAAGAAAAAAATAAATAAGCATTTTTTATTTCAAAATCAACCAAAATACAAAAAGCAACATGAACCCTTGCCACATGGATAGGATATTTACACATTTTGATGCTGACAAAATTTCCAATCCAACAATTCAGACTGATAAAGAAACTTTATTATGTCGAAGATGCTTTATAAATTTAGGTAATCTGAATTGAGGGTCCGAAAAGTTACACGTCACACCCAAAATCCTTAAAGAGGGTATGGTAGGTGAAGGAGGAGGAAGAGGATCACCAGCCAGTGCCCATCTGTATGTTCTTTGTTTTATTTTATTTCTCTTTGGTGAGTGGAAAGAGTTCTGTGAATGGAAAGAAATTCTTGTTCTAGCCAAGTGTATGTGATACAAGGACAAATAATGAGGTGTAGGAAAACATATTTACACTCGGTGACTCCCATACGTAATTTTTGGCCCTATTGTCACAGTAAAGTCCCCTTGATGACACTCCTACTCACCACTTCCCTCTTCACCCATGAAACTACGACCTCCTTGAACATCTAGGTGATGTATTAGAACACAATGTCATAAATAGTTACATGCATGGCTCATATGTGGCATAGGGCTGGTGGAGTAGTTAGATATATTCTGAAATCATGACAGGAAAGACACTTATGTAATAAATAGAAGACATTCAAACCAAAGCCTCTGATAGTCTTTTCTTTGCAACCGAAGTGCAGTATACTTATTTCAGAAATTAGACAAACTTGCACGGAAGGAACTTCTCATACTTCATTCAAGATCTCCTTAAATATAACATGAACTACTAAGTTTCAACAAAGGAAGTTGACCGCAACTGTGTAAAAAATAGCAAATGCTTGATGGGGTGGGGTGTATGTGGAGAATGTAACACACCTTTGATTTAAGTTACTACATTACATACCATTTCAGCATGTACTAAGTACCATCTACTTATCTATGCAGAAACTATAATAAGCAGTACTTGTGTAAAATTTTAATGATACAAATTCTGAATACCACAGTGGGCCATGTTAAAAGATCATCATATGAGATATTTTCTTATGAGAAGAGTTCCAAAATACGAAAAATACCAGAGAATCAACAATGCGCAGAAAGTGTAATACACTAAATTCCAGCTAAGTATCATCAGAAGATTGGCAGACCAACCCCACCATCAGACTACTGATATTTCTCTCAACTTATAAAAAACAAGAGAGGAAAATCTTAGTCTATGTTACTGAGAAATAAACTGACCTTAAAATGTGGAGGAAAACACTCCATTAGTTTAACTCTCAGGCATAAACCAATTACTGTCGCCATGCTGCAGTGCTGTATGGTTGGTGTGAAAGTTATCCTACAAGTCATTGAAAAATTAGTATCAAAATATTGAAAGTATAACACCTAAGTATTAGTTTAGAGGCACCTCCAAGGAAGTATAAATGAAAAAGAAAAAGGAAATATATAAAAAACATAAAGAAATGCGAGAAACTGACAACTAGATTAGTGCTATTGTATCATCCCTTTAAAACTGTATAGATGTACATCAGTATTAGCATATATCTCTTTGCATTGCCCGAGAGCAAAACCAATTCTATTCTGTGATATAATTGGGGAAAAAATTATCACAGTAACATTGCCGGGTAGAACATTTGAAACATATTGGAGGCCACCTCTCTGGCACTCTTTAGAGATCTGTCTTATACATCAAGAACATTTCTAAAAGTGCATTACCTATGTATGACTCGCGTATGCAGCACGCTCGGTTGGGAAGATTAGAGACACGCCTAAACTTTGGCATAATCTGCATAATACTCAACTGACGTAGTGCTTGTTAGCCCAAACTTTTTTTTTTTCCTTCTTAATTTAGCCTGAAGTTTCTATAATGTTAAAATATTTTCTTTATTTTCAGGACCAATTGATGAAAGATATAAATATTAAAGTTACACTCTCTCTAAAAGCTTTTAGAGCAGATGGTTGTTAACATGGTATCAGAGTCAAAGGTCTCGAGTTCAAACCTCATTGTCACCCTAATTAAAAAAATTGAAAAGCACGTGTCGGACCAAAAGAAGGCCACACGTGAGGGGGCGTGTTGAAGGATATAAATATTAAAGTTACACCCTCTCTAAAAGCTTATGCTTTTGGAGTAGATGGTTGTTAACACCAATATTACACAAATTGGAAATGTAGAGGAGATATGACAGTGGTTAGGGCATCAACATCAAGTCTATGTTAAGAAAAAACTTATGGTCCATTTGTTTCTACATAAAATGCTCTATGGAAAAAAACTGCTTTCATGTAAAACCTTTCAACTCCGGCATGAACACAACAAAAAAAAAAAAAAAAATCCATTCTCATTTTTAGTGTTTGCTTGGAGCTTTGAAAATAATGTACTGATATTAAGAGAAAGCCGGGCCAAAAGGGTTGTAAACAAATAACTTAGACTTAAAAATCTGGAATAATACTTTTCCGTGTCCATTTTTTCCTCCCCTTCTGGTCTGAACACTCTTCAAACTTTATTTGTTAGTTTCTTCGGAACCTTCTATCTAAATAAAACAATCAGAAGCAAAAACCAAAACCGAGATTCATTTTTCAAAGCTGAATGTCTTGGTTGTCACCAAGACTCGGGGAAAAAAATTCCCAGCTTTTGTGTTGCAAGTCTCCAGGGCATTGCTCAAACAATGTTTTCCCCTCTCTCCCTCCATATATATGTGTGTGCAGCCTGAGCACCCCAAATAAGGTAATAGCCACACAATGTGTATCGATTGAATCCATGATCATCAGACCGATAGGATAACTGAAATTAGGTTGGAAACTTGGAACTCATTACGGTGAATGCAAACCTAAAGATTATAAACTAAATGATATACAAATCAGTTAAACATAAAGAAAGCCCCAATTTACATACATAACTTGTCTATCCAACAACAAGAAAATTATAACTACTAAGATAAAACAATGCACATGAAAGTTGGAAATTAGCAATCAACACTCACAGAATGCGCCCAAGCTTCTCATCAACAGTAATAGATTCTTCAGAAAGAACACTGAGCTGCTCTAACGAATACGGATGCTCAGGATCTCTTATATCCCTCACGAAATGTATCGATTCAAGTCAAAGATCACAAACGTACAAATCATACTAAAATCATTCTCTTATATCCCTCAAGAAATGTATCAATTCAAAGATCACAAACGTACAAATCATACTAAAATCCCACAGTTTTTAACAAAATAAAATAAAATATATCATCAACGCCTTAATCTATCAAGGTTCGATTGGCTAACAAGAAGAAAAAAATAACGAAGTTGAACACTTCAGATCTCAAAGTTTTCATCAAATATCATTTGTAAAACACTTGAAATTCCAGTTGACTACAATTGACTACAGCGTGAACAAAGTTAATCGGACTTCCTCAGCTAGAAAATTTCACGAATGCAAAGTGAGAGAAAACTTGGATCTCTAATTTCATTTCTTTTCCTTCATTGTTTTTCTCAGCAACCAAACAGAGGGAAAGGAAAATAAAGATTATAGAGAGAGAGAAAAAAGGATATCATAGATTTCGAGAGGATCAACGGCGTCATCGGCGTGAAGATCTTCGGTGCGAGCGATCCTCTCCTTCTTGGCATGAACCACCGGGTTCGCATTTATCAGTCCCAGAGTCATCTCTCTCTTCCTCGGCGCCTAATTTCCAGCTTGTTACCTTTGGTACTTGCTGGAGCTTCGTTCACGGGCGTGTCCGAGAGAGGTCTTTATGGTCTTGCCGTTTACCAATCACTATGTGACGCGTGTCTGCGTATTTGGACTTATAAGTCGCAATCCACGGGCGCCGCACCCACACATCCTCTATTAGGAGAAGTTATTAATTGCTTCTGAAATTATTAATCGGGATCAATTATTATTAAACACTGTATGTAAGTAATTATACTAAGAATCAGTAAAAAATAATAATAATTAATTTTTCATTTATGTGTTGAATAATTATTGGACGGAATCAATGATCTTTGAATCATCTAACAATTTCTCATCACCTAATAATTTTTTCTAAATTTGTTAAAATAGTTCAATCAAACCATGTCACCTCAGTTATAATCCCCCATTATTATTGTTGTTATTATTTTTAATGGTGAGAGAAATACTGTTCGAACTAAAATTTCCATAACACAAAACAAAAACTTGTTATGTGTGTACAATTAAAAACTTGTTCAGTGTGTAAAACCAACTTAAAAATTGATAACAAATCTTTATCATTATATAGCCCATTTTGTTTTCACAAATTATTCTTAAAATGATATAGTAGTATATGATTAATATCGTAATTGAAAGAGATATCCAAATAAATTATATTTAAAAAGTACTAACTGTGTATATATACATATATTTGCAAATAAATTATATATTTTTTTGTTAATTTGTTAGTTTTTCTTTATTTAGTTAAAATACTTAAGAATCTAAATAGATGTGTAGGTTATTTTGACTTGCATTCCTTTAAAAATAAAATAAAATATAATTATATTGTATTTAATATTATGCACATCCTAATAAAAAAGAAATAATGAGTACATATATAATTCAAATACAATTATCCATTTTACTAGGGGAACACCCAGGGCCTACAAACCAACATGGCAGAAGCCCAATAGGACAAAACAAAAGCCCAAATTAAGTAAGATAACAAGAGCACAAACCAGGAGAAATCAGCCCAACCTAAATAGCCAACTAAATAACTAGAACAGCCATGGCAGAGCAGAGAATGGAAGTTTATTTGGTTTGTAACTTTAAAAATAATTCTTACAAACTCTGAAAACAATTTTCAGAGAGTTATAAAAGACTGTTATCTGAAAATAAACATTTTTATAACTAAATTTTCAGAAAACTAAACCAAACAAAAAAAATGTACAGTTTCTGTTTTCAGTTTTTCGAAAACAAAAAACTGTTTCTATAATTACAAATCAAGCAAGCCCGAATATACGGATTGAAAGAAAATAATAGATTTCTATCAATGAGCCAAAAGACAATTTGGGAGGTTCCAAATTGTGGCAATGCCACCAAATCAAAAGATGGATGGAAGAGTTTTTTTAGGTGGGAAGGCAAGTACTAATCTTATTAAACTTATTTTATATATGCCCAGATTATAAATTAAGTCACACAATACTTTTAAATGAATGTCGCACTTACGTTTAATGTTGCATTCGCTCTCACACTTTTTGTACACTTTTAATCTTACTTTCATTTTATGTGACTTAAATTTTGTTACTTTCACACCCTTACTTTCTCATTTGAATATCATACAATAAATGTACACATTGTTTTTTTTTTAAATATCTCCCTTTAAAATTTCATAATAAATCTTCTACTAATTAGAAAATACACATTGTTAATTTTAGAAGGATTTTCAAAAACTTAAGTAATCTATGAAAACACAAAAGTGTTAGCTTATGTCAAAAAATAATAATAATAAATAAATAAAATAAATGGTGTAAGCTAATTTTAGGAGATCCTAAAATTGAAAGATAAGATAGTTATGGTAAGATGGATAAAGTAATTTTTTTTTAATATTCATCAATAATTCAAGAAAATCATAATATCATAAAATTGATTGGATTTTAAATTGGAACTTGTATTTCACCAAGGTGTTTCACACCTATTTATATCCAAATCTAATTTGGATATACTAAAAAGTAAAAGTAATGTTAAAAAAATATATTAAAAAGAGTACGTATTATTTAAACACGGTAAAAATATTTCTTTTCAATTTGAATCTCAAGTCAAACCTGATTTATTTGGAATTGAATCTTGAGTCAAAATTGGTATGAGATATGAAAAGTGACAATAAAATTAGAAAATAATTTTTTTATTTTCGAATAATTGAAAATAAAATAACTGTACATGATTTCGTAAAAAATATTTTATGAAAATTCAGTTACAAAAATGTCTGCTTTCACTTAGGGTTCGTTTGGTTAGATAGAACTAGCAAGAAAGAAAAATAATCCAAAAATATTTAAACTTTTTGTGGCGTTTGTTTAGGATAAAACGGAAAGTTTTTAGGAAATTACGATTTCTGTATAAAACACAAGAAAAATTTTGTTTATCGGAAGAGTTATTAAGTTATGTTTTAAATTCCTATTATACTCATAATTATTAGTTGGGTTTCTTTTATCTTTTTCTCCCTTTTTGAGAAACATTTTTTTGAAATCATGAAATTGGACAGATCTTATTTTTAGCATTTTTTTAATCTATTTTTTATTTTTTTCTTCTTTTTTTCCCCTTCCAAATACGTACACATAACATATTATGGTGGGTATTTTTTAAGTGATTATATTAATTTACAATATGTATATATACACATATCAACTAGGTTTTAGAATTTGGATACTAGAGTTATTATAAGTTTTAGGGAATACATATATTCCTTAAAAAGAATAATACAAAATTTTCTATAGTTATATAATTCTAGTTGAATTCAAAAAAAAAAAAAAACCCTCGTAAATTTGGTTATTATATGTAAAATTCTATTGGTTTTAGTTATTTTAATATGAACAAACATCTAGTGGAACAATCATAATCTTATTGGATTTTATCAAAAATCCTTACAATTACTGTATAAAATGTAATGTCCAAATCACACACACATATATATTTGTGTAAAGAAATTCAGGTGACTTGGTGTCTCATACAAGTTCAGAATATTATTATCAACAACAAAATTTGATTTATGAATTAATTTTACTTAAATTTTTGACAAGTATAATAATTTTCTTTTATCTTTCATTCTATCCAAACTAACAACATAATATTTTTCCACGGAAATTTAAAATTATTTTCCTTCACTTCACTTTATTTCACTTTCACTTTCACTTTCACTTTCTACCATTTATTTCCATCTAACCAAACAGAGCTTTAAAATTGATTTTTTGATAACTATTTTATTAGTTACAAACTAAGCAAGCAGTCTTGTCCCAGGTCGTATCCTGATGAAAAATAAATGGGCATAAATAAATTGGATGTTAATAACACCTAATAGGTTATGCTTTTGGGTCGGCTTACGAAGCACCGTCAATTATATTTAGTATTAAAATCAGATCCAATATTTGATTCGGTTTCATATCACACACTCGGTCGAAAGCGTTGAGGTGAACACCCATAGGTAGGCATAGTGGCTCGACTCTAAAGAGGGCATTGCAAGTTTGGACTTTGGATAAAATAAAATGTGAGGCGGTAAGTATTTTGGGTGGACCCGTGAAGCACCCTGTACACCATCCGTGCTCCTTTTTCTTTTCATTTCTATCCAATTTTAACGAAAAAGGTGATTAACAGACTGCAAAGATGGGGCTATTGGCTAGTAGTGCTGAAAAGGGATAAATATATAATGACAAATGCGACATAACGCAGGTTCATTCATTGCATCCCTAATATCGTTGGTTTATATGGATGTTTGTATCCTCTTTGAAGATTTGAACGTAGTGTGCAATTGACACTAGAAATGTAATAGTGAAAAATCTACTGCTGCAACGAAATTGCAATAGAGAAGTCAAGGCAATCATTCGAAGATGAATGATGTCTTAAAGATTTGTGAATGACCAATTTCACACCAATTCTTCTAACATAAAATATTCTTATAATCTTCTTTTAATTTTTACATTCAGTTGCATAAAATTGATATATATATTTTTTATTTGACAAAGAGAGTTAGTAATTGGTGAAAATAAGATAAGGAATTCCAACCTAGGATCACAACATCATTGAGACACTTAAAAGATCTGATAACATTATTGAGACATTTAAAAGATCTGATTATTTATCACTAGATAACCTGCCACATCTTGTAATTAAAAAATTAATAATTAAAAAATAATAATTTGAGACAATTTGACAATAAGTAATTTCATTCCTAATTGCAATTAATATCTCTTCATTGTGCAATAAGTGAGGTAAGCACAACAAACACCAAAGTTGGGAACTTCAAATATTTAACGAAGGAAAAGTTGACAAACGTGATCATTAAAAAAGTAACAACCAACCATGATGGACATCACTATTTTGTAAGGCGTGACTGAGTAAGATTTATATATCTCAAAGTAACAATGTAAGTGAGCTTAATTTTATAGAATTTTCATGTTTTGTTTTTGAACTTCCGAAAAAAAATATAATAATAATGTAATTGGAATTTAAAGAGATATTATTCCGTAAATATAGTTCAAAATTTTTTTTTCCTATTTTTCGGTTCAATTTATCACTTTTTTTTTTTTTCCTGGTAAAATAGAAAGCGGGCATCGGAAAAAAGCGCGGGAGGAGATAACAGTAAACGAGAGGTTGGGCTCACAAACTTACGGTCACGTTCGAATTGCACGACGTCGTCTTTGTTCTTTCTCTTGCTTCGTTACCAAACTCCATGGAAAAGCTGAGAGACTAGAGACGAAGAGAGAGAAGCAGCGAAGAAATGGTGCACAGTGCTTACGATTCCTTCGAGCTCCTCAATGATTGCCCTACCAAGATCGACACTATCGAATCGTACGGATCAAAAATACTCATCGGCTGCTCAGATGGATCTCTTCGGATCTACGGCCCAGAATCCTCTGGCTCCGACCGTTCTCCGCCGTCCGATCGCCATTCCCAAACCCTAGAACTCCGGAAGGAACCCTACGTCCTCGAACGAACCGTAAATGGATTCTCCAAGAGGTCGATGTTGGCAATGGAGGTTTTGGGCTCCAGAGAGCTTCTTCTTTCGCTATCCGAGTCGATCGCGTTTCATAAGCTCCCAAATTTGGAGACCTTTGCGGTGATTACGAAGGCGAAAGGTGCGAACGTGTACTCGTGGGACGATCGAAGGGGGTTCTTGTGCTTTGCGAGGCAAAAGAGAGTCTGTATTTTCAGACATGAAGGTAATTTTCATGAACTCGAGTATATGTGTTGTCGATTGATGATTGGAAATGCAACACTTGCGTATATTGATTATCCAAAAATTGAGAACTGTAAATTCCTATCGTGTTAAGTTGAAACAAGGATAAGTTTGGTAAAGATGGTTGACAATTCATAATCAATTTAAAAACTTTAGTTAAACCCTCATTCTGGTTGCCTAAAACATTATAGAATTTTTAACCTTTGCCCGAGGCATGGGGTATGCCCCTTGTAGTTCTGTAGATGGTTTTTTCTTGTTTAATTAAATAACAAAAAAAAAAAAAAAAAACAAAAACAAGTGTACAAATTTTCCAGGAAAATGAAAAAAAAGGTAGAATCTTGCATTCTAGGGTTCCAACAATTAAAAATATGAAGATCGGTGCTTTTACTCATTTTATTTTCTTATATTTTCTTAGTTAGTTCTTCCCAATCTAAGATTTCAAGGTTTGGTTTCCATGTCTATTACATTCTGGATGTGTTGCCAACAAATTTGCCCTCATTTTGATAGCTTATCTATATTTGGCTGGGAAATTATAACCTTACTTATTATATAATAATAATTTGATCAAGTTGGTTTGGCTACTTCTGTAGGAGGACGGGGATTTGTGGAGGTGAAAGAATTTGGTGTTCCAGATACAGTGAAGTCGATGTCTTGGTGTGGTGAGAATATCTGTCTGGGGATTAAAAGGGAATACATCATACTGAATGCCACAAATGGTGCATTGTCTGAGGTATTTCCTTCTGGGAGGATTGCCCCACCTCTAGTGGTGTCTCTTCCATGTGGAGAACTTCTTCTAGGGAAGGTACTTTCACCCTTTCTGTTACTAGTATATACTACCCTCTTTGTTAGTCTTGTGGGCTCTGTATAACTCGTGTGGCTTTTGAGTCATGACCATCCATGTTCTAGTTCCAGCTCTCATGGCTATACTAATTTAGTTTTTGGTTGATACAATCATTTGTGTGGCTAGACTACACCAATATTTCTCTGCGTGCATATGTGTTGCTATTTTTAGTGAAAAAAGGAAACAATTCACAAACCTAATGATTTACCAACTGCCATGTGTACTTGTCTGTTTGTATATATGCACATGGTTGAGATCTCACAAGTGTTAGACTGCATGATGGTAGTAATCGGGATAAGAAATTTTGGGCATTTTCCCTATCCTTTAAGTGACATGTGATATGGTTAGGGTTAATAGCGATAAAGAATGAAGAGGATGAAAGGTAGAGGGAAAATATGATGGAATGGTCAATTTCCATCTAATTTTTCAAGTGGCAATTTTATAAAATACCTCTGTAGGCATTATGTTAGATAACATGAACACAAATATCTTAGTAAGAGTTCTTTGCTGAAATTGTGAAGAAAATAAAGGGAGGGAGTCAAAAAATACAGAAATATAATTGGAATGGAAAATCACTATCTTTTGTAGACATCAGGGCTATGTTATATAAACAACTCTACATTTTGTGGGTCTTATAACAGTAGCTTACGGCATACCTTAACATCAAAGACTACAAACAATTTCTGTAATCAAAACATCTTTACTCAGCATTTAAAATATTGAAAGATCTCCAATTTGATTTGTTTAATTCATTAACGAAATAAAATAGCTGTAATCATACATTCTATGGTACCTTGGAATTCTTATAGCAAATGCACATATTCTTTCTCCTTTTAGGATAACATTGGAGTTTTTGTTGACCAAAATGGAAAACTCCTTCAAGAAGGCAGAATTTGTTGGTCCGAGGCCCCTGCAGTTATTGTCATTCAGAAGCCATATGCAATAGCTCTCTTACCAAGACATGTTGAGGTGGCCCAAATTTTACTAAGCAATAAAATATTTTTATTCTTTTGTGTTGGCCTAGGAAGATTTGCATTTTTGCTTTTATTTTTCTTCTTGTAACTATTTGATGTTTGCAGATACGGTCTCTCCGAGTTCCTTATCCACTGATACAAACTGTTGTTCTCCGCAATGTTCGGCGCCTTCTCCAAAGCAGCAGCACGATAATTGTTGCATTAGACAACTCTGTTTATGGGCTGTTTTCTGTTCCTCTTGGTGCACAGGTACATTTCAGTCTCTGGAAGATTAATACCACTGTAATCTAGTTATAGCTTGTAAATTGTAATTTAGATGCACTGCCCACTTGGAGTAGTAAATGATTGAGTAGACATGCTGTAAAATACATAATTTTAGGTTGCATTAGATTTCTGACGAATAGGCTTTTATATTATGTGATTGTATTTGCATAGATATTTGTGCATTGCGATCCAGCCTTAACCCACCTGACTTTAGTTTCAACTTATTCTGTATCCATGACATAAGTGTGTTTGGAGTATTAATATGGGATGGGTGATACCCAAGGCCTTCTGGATGGGACACTTCCAGTTGAGCCATATTGTTGATCCTGTGTGGCCTAGTTTGTGCTTGTCACTTAGAGAGGTGGTTTTTGACCAAAAAGGGGAAATAGTCCCGTGGTATTATCTCGCTCATTTTTCTGGCCATCATGCATTATTGCATGAATATGGTTAGTAGATCAAATCATTATAAACTAATATCAGATCCATAACTACAATTCTTAACAAGTCTCCATTTACACTTTGATAGCTGAGGAAATTGTGCAAAATACACGAAATTGAAATCTCATAGCGTAGTTGGGTTGAACTGGGTGCGAAAATCATGAGGTTTTCTTTTCTTACAATTTTTCACAATAATGATTTTGCTGTTGTTCTGGTGAGAAAATTGAATAGATGTTGGAGATCTCCACAATGAACAGAAGAAAATATTAAATAGCAGGGATATAACTTTGCATAACTAATTCCAGAAATTTTAGAAATTGCTCCTAGGTGCCTTTACTTGAAATGCAGACAAGCTGACAAAGAATTTAATAACCAAATAAAATTTCAATAACGATGGTACTGTATTTGCAATGCAGATTGTACAGTTAACTGCATCTGGTAATTTTGAGGAAGCCTTGGCTTTGTGTAAGCTGCTTCCACCAGAAGATTCTAGCCTTCGAGCTTCAAAGGAGCAGTCGATTCATATAAGGTGAATATATACATTGGACAGTTTTTACTTTTGAGTTTTGCTTTGAGATGGTGCTAATAAATCAAATACTATAATATGATTTACTCATTGCATGCAAACACACCAATGGGTAACTAAGACAAGTTTGGATGAAACATGTTAATGGTTACGTCAATAACAACATGAGCATTTTAATGCTTTAGCAGTTAATGAAAATCAACATGTAGTCGTGTAGTTTGGATCATTTTATTATAGTGATATTGTTTCTCATCAAGATTTTTCTCTGACAAGTTTTTATCAATATTTTTGGTACTGTAATTACTTATTTGAAGAATCTATTGATGCTTTAAAATTCTAAAATATCTTGCGTTTCAGTTTTTATTTTGCCCCAAAAAGGGTTTCAAAATGGTAGTTCTAGCTGGCTTGTTGCTATATGCTGGAGCTTCATAAAAAATTAAATCTAGACGGTAGTCTGTGACATATGTCTAGAGTGAGTCGAGGAAAATGAGTGTAAGCCTTTGTTGAATTTCTAAAAAGTTTATTCTAATGTGCTCATTCTGCCTTTTTATGTTGGATGTTTTAGTTAATTTATCTTGTAAATGGATTCTAAAGAAATCATCAAAAGTTTATATTTTGTGTTGCACATTTATAATCATGAAGTTGTATTTATTTATTTATGAATATATATCGTAATTTCTACAGATATGCACACTATCTATTTGAAAACGGGAGCTATGAGGAGGCCATGGAACAATTTTTGGCATCTCAAGTAGAAATAACGTTTGTGCTTTCTTTATATCCATCAATTGTCCTTCCCAAAGCAGCTATGGTACCTGAACCAGAGAAGTTTCTGGACATTGCTGGGGATGCTTCATATCTCTCAAGAGGTTCATCTGGTATTTCAGATGATATGGAATTCTCACCTCCTCCTCAGCTAGTGGACTCTGACGAGAATGCTGCACTTGAGTCCAAGAAAATGAGCCACAATACTTTGATGGCTCTCATCAAATTTTTGCAGAAGAAGAGATACGGCATAATTGAAAAGGCCACTGCTGAGGGAACTGATGAGGTTGTTTTTGATGCCGTTGGGGATAATTTTGTATCTTATGATTCCAGAAGGTCTAGGAGACCAAGCAAAGTAAACTACTGACTTAACTTTTATTCATTTTATCTGCAAGAGCTAATTAGGTCATTTAAATATAGTCAGAAAGTCTTAGACATGGATTTGTAAAAGCTTTATTTGACACATTTTTAATTTTATTTTTGGATAACAATTATTTTAAATGCATGCAAGCATGCTTGTACTGTCTTTATTGTGCAATCTCATCGTGACATATATACATATATATATATATCAGAAATTGTTCTTCAACATGCGCTTTGGACATTCATTCTATCAAAGTAAAATAGCTTTAAGCTAATGTGGGACTTGTCATTTGAGGACAGTGTCTAGATACTTTCACCATTGGAAGCATGATTGATTAGCCATTCACTGCTTGACTATATTAGCTGAAATAGTGTTGAAATTAACCTGAAGCCGGAGCCTACTTTGTCTAATAGTAGGATATTTGCTATGCTAGAGTAGATATCACCATAATGTTTTTTTTTTTTTTTTGGGTAAAATATCACCATAAATTTTTTTCTGTGATTGAGAGCTTCATTAAAAGTGTTAGATACGTATAGCGGTTTTTAGTACATTGTAATATTGAAATGTCGTAATTGATCTCACCAATTTAATGGTTTATAAGATGATATTTTGCTATTTGAATAACTTTGCATGTCTAGTAGTCCTTGAAATGCAGCATAATGGCTGTTTTCCAGAATATTTTCTTATATTTCATTCAGTGCGGCATAAGGGCTGTTTTCCATAATATTTCTTATATTTCATTCAGTGTTCTAAATATAGCTTCTTTGGTCACTAGGGTCGAGTTAACATCCCCATTAGCTCAGGTGCTAGAGAGATGGCAGCAATACTGGACACGGCACTACTACAAGCTCTTCTTTTGACTGGGCAGTCTTCTGCCGCTTTGGAGTTGCTGAAAGGTCCCAACTATTGTGATGTAAAGATATGCGAGGAGTTACTTCAGAAAAGAAATCAATACATTGCTTTGTTAGAACTTTATAAGTGCAATGCAATGCACCGTGAAGCTCTCAAACTTCTGCATCAATTAGTAGAACAGTCAAAATCTGACCAACCACAAGCTGAGCTCACACAGAAGTTCAACCCTGAGATGATTATTGAATATCTTAAAGTAAATTTTCTCTCATAAGGGCAATATCTTCTGTCTTGTTCAACTTATCACCACACACACACACACACACACACACACACACACACACACACATTCTTTGTCCTGTTTGCAGTTTGGATGCTTAAATGTTGGCAATATTGAAGCCTTTGGAATTGTTTGAATCATCTGCATTTTTATAATTACTAAACCACATTGTAACTTTCTAACATTCCATGGCATCTATATGATGTAGCTGTTTTTGAGGACTGAGTATGAATGCTGGAGTGATTAGAAACTCCAGAAAGAGAATTATTTTCTTCCCCAGCCTTCACTTGAGATTGATAAATTTTTCAACTTGCCCTTCAGCCTTTGTGTAATAAACTTTTTTCCCTTCTCTTTTTTTCTTTTTGTGGGCCTTATACCTAAAGTTTTGAATTGGTGAGAATTTTTTGAGAATTCTGTTTTTGTTCATTTTTACCTATGGGTTTTGTCTCCTCATGTTTAGGGTGATGGGGATATTAGATTTTGACAGTTATTACAGGAATTTTACTGATTCTTTGGAATTATTTATTTTGAAATTTGGAAACTTTGATTGTTGGTTTTTTTGAGTGTCTTCTTCTAAAACATACTGTGATCTAGAATTTAGAATATATGTATATTGGTGGACTTCAAACCTAAAACTTAGAATCAGTGATCATTTTCTTATTTTATATTTTATGTTCTGTTTCACCTATGACTTCTGTCCTATGTTACCTGGACTTGTGTATGTGTCTCGGACACGGTTATGTATCCATCCGTTGGACGTGTCAGATCTCTAGACAGAAGGACACATGGACACTGCTAAATATTCATATTGAATTATTTTCTAGAGTAAAGTAATTTTTTTATTTAATATAGTGTTCAATATAGGCATTTATCTCATTTTAAATTAATAATATAATATAATTGAATGATTGGATATGGTTTTTAACTACATGTCCACCCAAAAGTGTTGGCCACATCCCATACCCATATCCGAGCAATAAGTGTCCGGTGCCTCACTACTTTTGAAAAGTCCATGTAACATAGCTTCTGTCTCCCCATGCTTAAGCTATGGGAATATATCATTGGTTTGACTGTTTGAAGAACAGCATACCTACACTCAAGCATGTGGCTTAACTGGGATAGTTTATGATTCATCGGGTTCTGTTGTGTACAGAAATTGTACTAATTCACTGGAATTGTTTTTTTGAAAATTAATAAATTTGATTATGTTTGATTTTGAACTAATAATATATCATTAACGGAGATTGTGATTTTGATGAATTTTCTTGTGCAGCCTCTCTGCGCGACTGATCCTATGTTTGTCTTGGAGTTTTCAATGCTTGTCCTTGAAAGCTGTCCAACACAAACTATTGAGCTCTTTTTGTCTGGTAACATTCCAGCAGATTTGGTCAACTCTTATTTAAAACAGCATGCTCCAAGCATGCAGGGCAGATATTTAGAACTTATGCTTGCAATGAATGAAAATGGCATCTCTGGAAATTTGCAGAATGAAATGGTAAAAGTTCTTTTATCTCACATTTCTTTCAGTAACTTAGAAAAAATGATTTTTTAAAAAATAATTAAAAAATAAATAAAATTTTGAAGGTTAACTAATTTGAAAGACTTGGTCATGGCAGCAAAGATGACTGATGCCAAGCCCAACTACTTAGGAATAAATATTGTTGAAGGTTTCTAGGGTAAACATAATTATTTATATAAAAAATTTGACTTTTTAATTATATGTATTGCAGCTGCAAATCTATCTTTCAGAAGTGCTTGATTGGTTTGCAGAGCTAAGTCCTCAACAGAAATGGGATGAGAAAGCTTATTCTCCGACGAGGAAGAAATTGCTATCTGCTTTAGAGAGCATCTCTGGATATAGTCCAGAAGTTTTGTTAAAGAGACTTCCACCGGATGCTTTGTATGAAGAACGTGCTGTTTTGTTGGGAAAGATGAACCAACACGAGCTCGCTTTGTCTCTATATGTTAACAAGGTATTTTCCATATAGCTAATCATTCATTTTTTTACCAGTGAACTTAATGCCACTTGTAAGGGAACCTGAGGGGAGACTAAGAAACTCTTCTTATAGAACTTTGGGTTCTACCGGTCCCCGAAAACATTGGCAACACTAGTATGGAAGATTTATTGTCTCTGCTGCATTCATGCAAGATTTATGGTCTTTTGCTTACGTCTATTAAACTAGTTCTATGCATGGTTCTTACACTAGTGTGGAAGTTCTTCACCAAACTTGTAAACCTGAGACCACCAAATTTGAGGGCTGAGGGTAGGGGAAAGGAATGAGAGAACAATAAAATGGTCTTTTTTTTAAAAAAAAAAAAATTATTTTATTTTATTTTATTGGTAGGTAAATAACAAAGTAGATTTATTGCAAGCAATAAAATATAGATATCAACTAGAGTATATCGGAAATTCTTTATGGAAATTAATATCATATCATGAAAACTTTGATGAAATTATTTTTAGTATTAATAGAAGTCCTGACTTGACTGAGTCAAAATGTTGCAAATAAAGTGTAAATTCAACAATTATGTATTGTTTAAGGCACTGAAATTGCTTGTTCCTTAGAATATAAAGAACACCAATCATTATCACATCAATGAATTTAACTATGTCAACATTCAAAAAACATCAACTATGAATACGCATTTCTAATGACATGAATATGAAGTCCACAACTATGCAAATAATATAATAATACCAGTCCTTGACCAGCCACATGGACTTTCCATTTGGTTCAAATTCAATAACATCTCGTTACAATTTTTTTCCTCACCTAGACTACCTGAAGGAGGACACCTAAGGTCCATCGGTAAGTTGCTCATAGTATTCATCTGATGTTTATGGAATCTTATGCAATGGTTAATATGTTCTTGCTTAGGGGGAATAAAAATATGTCCTTCCAACTTGACCATAGTAAAACTTATTCTTGAGAATTCAAAGTAGTGCAAACTGTTGGTAGTTATACCTGCCAATGTCCTGCCAATAACCAACATAAATGCAGTACCTTGTTACCCATTGACATATAAGTATATAACTTATAATACGATCAATATTGCTGTTCTTATTCGTTGAGGTTTGGCTGTCGAAAAATTGAGTAGTTGACGCTCTAAAAATTAATAATCTTAGCAAACCCTAAATTAATTAATTAATACTCAACAAAGCCTTTTTCGAACTATTTGGGGTCAACTAAAAAGTCCATCACTCTTGAATAAAATTATTAAACATTAAGTAACTTTATGATTAATTATCCAAAAAAAAACAAATAACTTTATGATTTTAGTTGATGAAAAAGCTTTTTACAAGTGTATGACTTTCAGTAAAAAATAAGGCATGCATATATATTCTTAAGCATGAGGGACTTCTTGCCCAAACGAAAAAGTACCATCTAGTCTGAGACTAAGTTTAGAAATCTCCTAATTTCCTTGTTTGTGATAATTTTCTTGTGATAGATGCCAATATATTTTCTACTCTAATTATTAATAATATAAGTAATGTATAAGATTTTTTTTTTTAAAGTATTAATTATTAATTAACAGAAAGATGTTGGTTTTCTTGAAAAGTTATCAAGTTATATAATTATTTTATTGGAGGTTTTCCTATATACTTTAGGAGCTATATACCTAAACCATGATCTGTGCTGTATACTGCAATAGGTCATGTGATATATTGTGTATATCCCAACTTTCAATCGATATAATGAGATTTTCATTTGAAATGTGTAATGTATCCATGCCTGATATATCATGATATTTTGCAATATATATGTGCTATTTGTGAATTTATAATCACAAATAGATATTGTATTGCATTTCATGCAAGGGCAATCTATTGATGAATATATAGTGATATTTTATTCCATGGGTATATGCATTTGACTTGTTTAGACAAAGGATTGAGGTGTGAGTTACCCCCGTGTAACCCATTTATCAATAATTTTAGTTTTGTTGATCCTGCAGATCTGAGGGTTGTTATACTAGTTTACAATACTATAACATACAAAAATATATAGTGCTTCATTCTTTAGTTATTCAGTCTGACATTTATGATAAATTAAATGGTTCTGATGACATTAAGCTAATATTGAATTATATAATTTAGTATTAGAACAATTTATATAATTATTATTTTATAATTTTCTAATTTGGTGTATAACAAAAGCATAAGAAGTGCGTTAGGTGGTTGTGGCTTGGGCTGAGAGTTTCTAGAAGGGTTAGCCTGAACTTGTTAACCTGCTTAATAAATTAGGTAGTCAGGTCAAGGCTCTCTAGGTGCTCCACCCACCTTTTGGAACCTTCTAATAAGATAGTAATTCATTGTTTACAGAGCTCACTGATGCAGCATATTGGTGTTGGCGTACCCCCTAGTCTATATATTAGTTATTCCTCTTAATTTTTCATTTGTCTGCATTTATTTTTATTATGATCATGAATACTAAATATTCTTCAGGTTAATTAAGTTTTCTTGGCATTTGTAGCTTCATGTTCCTGAACTGGCAGTGTCCTACTGTGATCGGGTGTATGAATCTCTACTTCATCAACATCCTGTAAAATCCTATAGCAATATATACCTCACTCTCCTGCAAATCTACTTGAATCCGCAAAGGACGACAAAGAACTTTGAGAATCGGATCACTAATCTGGTATCATCTCAGAATACTGGTCTTCCAAGGGTTGGTTCAGGGATTTCAGTTAAAACTAAAGGTCGTTCTGCTAAGAAAATTGCAGCGATAGAGGGTGCAGAAGATATTCGAATCAGTCCTAGTAGCACTGACAGTGGGAGGAGTGATGGTGATGCAGACGACCTTATTGATGAAGGAGGTTCTACTATTATGCTTGATGAGGTCCTTGATCTATTGAGCCGAAGGTGGGATCGAATCAATGGAGCACAGGCACTCAAATTGTTACCAAGGGAAACTAAGCTGCAGGTAATGATTTTCTGAATATATATACTGATACAAACTTCAATCTCTAGGAACTTTATATGTCATGGGTTCAAATAACATTAGGCAATGTGTTTCCTCTTCCCATGATGTAGTCTTGCTTCGTGGTGCAAGCCTGTAACGCCTAGGTATTATGCACTTATGTTTGTCTAAAAGGTGATGAATAACAGCTTGTTCAATCATTTATAAAACAATTTCAATTTAAGGAAATTTTTGTTAGTTTAGACTCTCGAAACTTTCAAGCAATAACTTCTCAATGAAATGCCTTATAGATATTTAGATTCATAAAGCTGCTGAATATAAAGAATTAGTTTCACTTGTACTGTGATAAGTGTCACTGTTCTAAATTCCATTAAACATCCAGTCAGGCAACCCTTGATGCAAAGCATCAAACTTTGGATGTGTTAATTAAAATGAACTACAAGAGGTTAACAAAGTAATAAAATTTAGATTTTGTGATAGGAGCTCCCTAGATAGTGTTGTCTGAGGGATTTTTTCAGAATAATATTGTTGACAAGGTGTACTCTGTCTGCCTTGTGGGTGTTTCACATCTTGAGGGCTAAGCAAATTGTAACTTTCAGCCAATTGCTTGAAGGCATTTCCTCAAGCCATCCACGAGGTGTACACTTAGATAATAGGTTTGTTATTATCTTTCCATGCTTCATGCTGTTTATAGGGCATGCATTTAGCTTGAAAATACCTCTGTTGGAAGGATTTTTTATTCTCCAGTAGTTTATTTATTTATTTTTGGCAATTACTCTCCAGTATTTTATGATAATGATAGCATCTATTAGCATGTCAATTACTCTCCAGTAGTTTATGATAATGATAGCATCTATAAGCATATCGATTTTTACTATTAGGATCTGATCTCTCTCTCTCTCTCTCTCTCTCTCTCTCTCTCTCTCTCTCCCTCTTCCTCTGTGATGGTAATTGTATCCTGAATTATTATTCTTTTGGTTTTGTGCAGAACTTGCTTCAGTTTCTTGGACCTCTTCTGAGAAAATCCAGTGAATCATACCGGAACTTTTCAGTCATCAAAAGTTTGAGAGAGAGTGAGAACCTGCAGGTATGTCTTTCTTGCTTCCCTCCTAAATAACCTCCAGGTATGTCTTTGTCTATTGATTGATGTTGAATTGGGGTATGAACTGGATAACTTTCTTGGTTTTCATTTGCCTAACATGCTACATTGCAAATGCGACAAGAGTTTCTACTGATTTAGTGAGACCTCCAGTATTGAGGGTTTAATTGCACTTCTTAATTTTCATGCTACTCTATATCGAAAAGCTCAATCTAGTTCTTACAATTATATCTTTTGATATATACTCCTTCAATCGTTTCATGACTTGATGCCAGTATACTGGTATATTAAGGTATTCGTTGATGAAATTGTTTTCTGATGGTGGTGGCTTCAATAAGCTATTTGTGCATGTGCACTGGGGGTGCTGTTTATACCAGTTTTAGAATGCTATTGTTTTCATTTCTTCTCACTAATCTATTAGAAGAAGGTTGATATTTTGTTCCACTGTGTTTATGTTTCTCTACAATCGAATTGAATATGGTTGAAGCCAAAATCAGCTCTTCAATCTTGAGCGAGAACTCACGGAGACACGTACCCGGTTTTTAAAATGGCTCAGCTGAAGTTGAACCTAATTTCATCCTTGGATATTTGTTTTGTTCTACTGAAACATTTATTCCTTCACTGCTTGATCAAATACTTTTGTTTGATTTGACTTGCTGTGCAAGATACTTCCATTCTATCTGATTTTGTAAAAGCGCATTGTGTGGAATAGGTGAAAGATGAACTGTATAGCCAAAGGAAGACAGCTGTGAATATCACCAGTGACAGTATGTGCTCGCTTTGCAACAAGAAAATAGGGACCAGCGTATTTGCAGTCTATCCCAATGGTAAGACCATTGTGCACTTTGTTTGCTTTAGAGACTCACAGAGTATGAAGGCTGTTGGAAGAGGCTCACCCTTTCGGAAGCGATGATTATTTTTATTCACATTTGGGTTAAGAGTGCCCCTAGAGGAGCTGGTTTTAGCCTTCTCACTGACCGGTCATCTATTGCTACCATGCTTATCCCTTCATTTGGCTCAAGCTAGTATTGGTTGTACAAGGGAAAGCTGCAACAGCGACCTGAAGATCGTCGAGACCGTAAAAAAAAAGGGTCGTGTCCCAACTATTTGGGATTGGTTGTTAACAAGCGTGTGGATTGCAATTTGAAGGTTTTCAGGTGTTTTTAAGTGGAATGGTTTTTGGATGAGAATGAAAGCTGCATTTGATGTAGAGATGTGACACAAGTGTTCTCTAGAGATGTATTATTATTGCCTTCGTAACTTATATGTGGTTTCAATTGTTGACTTGTAAGTTGTAACTATATTATAAATTTCAATGCAAAACCGTAGTGTGTGATACCTCTTCAAATATTCCCAGAAATGTAGATTGAAACAGGCCGAAGTAGGGCTGTAAGTTGGGCGGGCTAGCCCAGCCCAGCCCAGCTTAACCCCAACCCAGAAATTTTGAAATTTGGACACACATTTACAAATCAAATCGGGTTCATGTTTGGGTTGGGTTTAATCAAAACCCAGACAATTCGGGTTGGGCTCGGGCTCAACCCGAACCCAACCCAAAATCCAAAATTATTATTATTATTATTTTTCTCTCTCCTCTCTCTCTCTTCTTTCTCTTTTCTCTCTCTTTCCCGAAATTTTTTTTCTCTCCTCTCTCTTCTTTCTCTTTCTCTTTCTCTCTCTGCCTGAATTTTATTTTATTTTATTATTATTTTTTTTTCTCTCTCTCTCTGTCGCCGTCCCTCAGTCGATCCGCCGCCGCCGCTTCCAAAAATTAAAACAAAACCCATACAAACAAGTTAGCAGTTGGAGAGAGAGAGGGGGGCAAGCTTGAGAGTTGAGAGACAGCGGCTAAAGCTTGCGAACGGCGAACCCGAACTGGAATAGCCGGCGATGGAAACTGAAACATATGGGTTTTGATTTTTTGAATAATCTGAAATGATCTGAAATATATGGGTTTTGAACTTTTGATTCTTGCACACAGATCTGAAATATATGGGTTTTGAACTTTTGATTCTTGTAAATTTTGTAGTTTGAAGTTGCAAAGAGAGAGAGAGTTGAGAATGAGACTGGACGATTGGGGAGGCTGAAATGGTTTGCCCTAAATTTTTTTTGTTTTTTGCTAATATATAGATATATCTGTATATAGATATATATATCTATATAATATATATATTTTCGAAAAATATATATATAAATAAATTTTTAAAACTCAACCCGTCAACCCAACCCGACGGGCCCGAAAATATTCGGGCTAGATTTTGACTATAACCCATGCAAAGTACAATTCGGATTCGCCTAACCCAACCTGATTCGAGTTGAAGTTGGGTTGAGACTGGGCTGAGTTGGATCAGTCCAACTTGCATCCCTAGGCCAAAGTATCAATATTTAAGGATGAAACCAGAAGGAAGTCAATGGAGTTATGAAGTTACACTAAGGAGCAGTGCTACAATGAAGATGCTCTCACGGTGGGCTTGTACCCTCATTTGTCGGCTTGATTTTGTGCAGTATTTGACACTTGATCTAACGGACAAGGACTCAAGTTCATATTAAAATACCCTTATCGTAGCATTTTCCTACTTCATATGATAACGCCTTTTTTCTCCTTGATGCAGAGAAAAGGAAGAAACATTTGAACAACTATAGTTTATTGGCAGTAATATTAAATTATAAGTTTAGAGTAAATAAATACGTTAGAATGCTGGCAAATCATTCTTGATGCACTATTATAGAGCACAAAAAATTCCACCATAATTGAATATTTCTTATTTAATGTATACTACAATCATAATAAAATGATTTGTATAGTGAGGTATCCAATGTACTCTCTGTCGATTATTTATTTATTTTTTATTGATAAGAAATACAATTATAATTAAAGTACCACCAGACTACAGTTTTAATGAATTTTAAATTTTAACATTATTTGCACCAAATGACTATTATGTTTGGCAATCTATATGTTATTTGCACCTTGGATTATAAGCAACGAGGTCAATTTTGGAAACTTTTATATTTCAGAACAGTTATGCTTTGGATTTGTCACCAAAATTAAGAAAATAATACCCATTTAGATGATGCATCAGTTTCTTAAACTTCAATTCATATCTGATTGACTCTAAATCCCTCCAATAGAAAAAAAAAAAAAAAAAAAAAAAAAAAAAAAAAAAAAGAAAATGAGAATGAAGAAACATGTTTTAAATTTTTATTAGAAAATCCACAATTTAAAATAAGCAAGTCACATATGACATATGCATACATCAATACATTGCGCACAGTCGATGCACGAACCGAATTATTTTACTTACTACCTCTGAAGTAGTTAAATTAAATTATGTTGGAAAGAAGAGCAACAACGGTCCCATGGTCTAGTGGTCAGGACATTGGACTCTGAATCCAGTAACCCGAGTTCAAGTCTCGGTGGGACCTTCCTTTTTCCCTTTTTTTTTTTGTGCTCTAAAAAAAGCAAGAGGGTTCCGCTAAAAAATTGCTAAAAATAGTAAATTAGAAAAAAGGTATCCGTGTGAAGAATCGAGTCTCTATTTTGAAATGCCAAATTGTTTAAACGATCACCCAGCTTAAAAATATATTCCAAGAACCTTCTCAATGCATAATCTAGCAGAGAAAACACCCACCACCTAAAAAATTATTACACTTTGTTTGGCTTTCTGTGGATCCATTTCTTCTCTTTTGTAATTGTCATTCCACCTTCATCCAATTAATTCTGCCGACCATTCTTCATTCTGGAATCTTCTATTTTTTTATTACTTTTTTAATTTTTCCCTCTGCCTCTTCAAGTAGAGGTCAAGAATTGATTGGAGACAACCCATAAATTGTCCGAGCATTGGTTTTAGATAATAATTCAGTAAGTAAAGGTTCTCTAGATTCATGAATATTGCTGATACTTGAGTCCAACAAAACTCATTTTTTTATGGGTCCGTCAAAAGGTTGATAAGGTTATGGTGATGAACATCAATTAAACTGCAGAAGCCAAAAGTGATCTTCACTCACAATAAATTATATATATATACATATATATAGTTCTCTTCCGTAGTGGCCAAAACTATGAAGTTGTGCTCCTGACAGATTCCTAGTACTTTCACAAATTATGTAACCTAAAATCATAGACTTGTCCCCTATTTAAAAAATGGCTATGCTGACAAGCAACTAAGCAAGTACCGCCCATATTCACTTATTCCTCCAACTTGATTGAATTCATCAAATCTCAGTGTATCTGGGATACATAATAATAATAAAATTAGATGATGGTTAAACCTATTGAATGTCACTAGTCCTAGATGTCAAAAGCACACCACCATTGCACAAACTATATAACAATACAAACGTTTATACGGGATAAAAGTAAGAATATGATGATCAGTTATTGCAACTTACAACGTTGATTAAGAATGGTTATATATTATAGGGTGAAAGTCGGACGAACCAGATTTTTAGGCTGAATTTGGAAGATCAAGATCTGCTAAGATCAATTCCAATGAAGTGAGGTCTGACAACTTGCTTAAACAATTATTTCCAAGAATGCGTTGTCTGCTAGTTAAAATCCACATGCTATACTAAGTACTGATGTTTAAATTATAGAAGGAAACAGACCAAAAATGAAACAAGTGACAAAGCCTTCTTCTATAAAGCTACTAGGTTCATCAACATCATTACTCTCTCTCTCACATTTCCTTTGTCCTGCTTCATCTCGTGGCTAATTAATTGATTAAATAATCTGGAGTTCTGCAAATTTTCTTTTAGGTTAAAGGTGACCTTAATGCCAGCATATTGAAGGGCCAAAAACTAGGAAAATATTCTCCTGACAGATTCCTAGTTGCTAAACAAAAATGGTTGTCCCAAGATGCAAGTACTATCATATTAAATTATGTCTTTGAGTTGGCTGAATTCCCAAATAGCACATTAAAAGTACGTCAGATTGTGAATAAAAAGTACATCAGATCAGCAAACAAATGTGAAATGCAGATGTCACTAGTCCTTGCTGTCAAATTTATACAAATATGGGCATACAATATATACTATAACAATACATTATAATGCCCAATTGAAAGTGTTTCACATGCAAATTGAAAATGAATTGGTGGTTGTGTATAATAATGGTTTAGAGAAACACTATGAAAAGCAAGTCTACATTTCAGGACTCCAGAATTTTCTGGTACTAGCGTTTGGAAAATGATATGAGTCACCATAGACTAGGCTGTCTAGAAATGCCCAGATTCCTCTAACGAGGTTTGATTTGCAAAGAGATCAAATCCAACAAAGTCGGATCATTTTAAATTGACCACTTGTTTAAAGAATCATAACATTTTCTTGGGTTCCATTTCTTCTAAGATTTCTCAATTTGGTTTCTAATAAATAGAGCCCACATGCCAACAAATTACATAAACATAGTACTGCATATATAGTGTTGTTTAAGGAAACAACTGACTGTCTACCAAAAATAATGATCTCTCTCCCCCATTTTTCCATGTCCTTCTTCAGCTCATGGCTGCTTAATTGATTAAATAATCTGTAGTTCTGCAAAATTTGTTTGCCAACTTGCATTGCCTTTTCACACGCTCGATCTCTAGTTAAAATAGTTCTTATCTTCACTCATTGTCCCTTCACCAGAGTCTTCTACATTTGCTCAAACTCAGTAAAGCTAGCCTTCCACAACTCTTTCTGTTGGCTTTTCCATTCACTTCCTTTCATAATTTGCTCCCACCATTTTCCTCCTCTAAACTCGCTCTAATAAACCTGCTATAAAATGGCATCCAGTCATCATTCAGGCTGTCCCAACTCAAATTGGACCGCCAAGCAGAATAAATTGTTTGAGAATGCTCTTGCAATATATGATAAGGACACCCCTGACCGGTGGCATAATATAGCCAAGGCCGTTGGTGGGAAAAGTGTGGAGGAAGTAAAGATGCAATATGAGGTCCTTCTAAGCGACATCAAACGCATTGAGTCAGGCAAAGTCCCCCTTCCTAATTACAAGAGCAATGCGCGTACTTGACGAGTAAGGAGACAGTGTCCATAATGAAGAGCAGAGGTAACTTCCTAATGTCTGCTTTAACTAGCAGTAGGAAAGTCTGATTTTGTAGACTGGAATTATTCTCATGCTGGTGCATTAGTGCAGGGTTTGAGCTACAAAATGTAGAGCACCTAAAGGAATGTAATTTGTCTCTTGTATTCCCTCATTAAGTGCAAGACCAACACCATCTTCTCGCTAGGAAAACAATCAAACACCAAAAGGCCCATCCACAATTACAACCTTATAATCTTATTTTCCTACAACAAACAGTCCCTAAGGGAGAACAATCCGTATTCCAAAACGCAATTTTCAGATTCTATATCTT